AAAAGAAGACATTCATACAGCCAACAGACACATGAAAAAATGCTCATCATCACTGGCCATCAGAGAAATGCAAATCAAAACCACAATGAGATACCGTCTCACACCAGTTAGAATGGCGATCATTAAAAAGTCAGGAAACAACAGGTGCTGGAGAGGATGTGGAGAAATAGGAACACTTTTTTTAGTCTTTTTAAAGGTAGTCATAGGCTCCTGGTATTGCACATTCATGGGAATAATGAATTTATTTGGACTAGAGACTAAGACCTGCTGGAATGTCACCAGAATAGAACCTCTTAATGAAGTTCAAAGCTGTGAAGGCATGTTTCTTCCAAACATGCTGTCATTTGTAAACATTCATCAACATTTAATAATATGATTCACTTTTAAGAATTATTGTAAAATACTGTTGTTCACTTAAAAAAATTAGAACTGACTCACCTCAATGAGTATTTTACATTTTAAAGTAGTTTTCTGAGAAGGCTGTGTACTTACAAATTTGAGTATAAAGTTTGGAATTTGAGTATTAACATCCCATTGTAATGCAATCTTGACTATAAGTTAGTCTTCTGTTTCAGAATGCAAAGATACAGAAAGATGTGTCTTGGAGTAGTTTCAATATATAAATTTTGAGGGTAGATTAAATAGTCAAATATCTATTTGTAATAACTAATATAAATTAATTATGCATACATACTTTAAAAATTTAAAATTGCATAAATATGCAATAATAGATTTAGAAATACTACTTTTTTATATATGCTCATAGTTCATGAGTAGTATTAATAAAACTCTTCCTATTTATATTCTACATTGATTTCTTTGTCAAAGAACCGCTTTTGGAATCATCTAACAGCTTTCCAGGATACATAGTGGTCACTTCCATTTAAGATGTTTGCATTTCAGCACTTTTACAATTCAAGTACGGTGCTGTCCCTTGAGACTCTCATTCAGAGCCACATGTATCTCTTTTCATAACACTAATACTGTTGTTTTTTCTTTATTTCTTCAAATTCTTAAGAACATGACTTATTATATTTTATGAATAAATTTTTAAACTTGTTTGTAACAACATTCAACTCTTGGAATATGAACCAAATCTATTTTCATTACATTTTTTTACTAATTCCCTCAGTAAAAAATAGAATTGATGAGGATGTTTGAGGGGCAATTATACTTTTTTGTGTACAATGTAAAGGATTGGAGAAACTGCCTCATAAAATGAGAGGCTTAGCAATGATTCAGTCAGCTAGAACGTGTGACCCTGTCTGAGTGGTGAAAATGATCACCTAAGTATGGTGTTAGTTACATTCCTGATAAGTGATAGGTTCGTGTTTGGCACTTGGCACACCGAGATGAACCAGCTAGGCGTGGAGCCTTACCCTCATCGAGTTTATGCTGGAAGGGGGCTGTTAGCAGTTACAACTGTGATGGATATTACAAATAAGAAAATAAGGTTCCCGACATTAGGAGTAAGAGAGGGTAAGTATTTTAAGAAT